TTATCCTACTCGTAAGGTAAAAAACTTTCCTGTTTCATGAATGTCTGTGGAAGGCATGAGACTCCTTGGGTCAGAGATAAAGAACTCCACTATTCACAGGGAAAATAATAGAGCATCAGCATGATGTTTGTGCTGGTTTTACATGCTCCCAGATCTCAAGAGGGTGATGCAGGCAGGCCTAGATGCATGTCTGCACACATAGTGAGAGGAACACCGAGTGCGTGGAATTCATTGTTTTTCTAATATTGCATGCCTGTTTTTTTTTTTTATCTGAAAGATGTCATCTAATCTCTCATGGGAGCTGGCTCAGATGTTGCCTGTGTAAAAAGTGCTCAGGGCCTCGCAGTCTTGACATGCCTACCAAGATTGTGTGGGACTCTCCAAGACCCTGGCAGATTGCCTTTTGGCAAGTCAAGTGGACCAGATGGCCCGCTTTGTGAGTTCGACAAGATGTTCTGATTTGGGAGCTGACCTTAGGTCTGAGTTTGTAGGTTGACCAGATGTCTTAATTCACTGTGACCCAGATAAGCTTTTAAGAAGTCTGAATGAAGCTGGGCATGTGGTGCACACCTGTGATCCCCGCACTCCATAGGCTGAGGCAGGAGGACTGTTGCGAGTTTGAGGTCAGCCTGAACTGCATAGCAAGACCCTGTCTCAAAAAAAGGGGGGTTGGTCATTTAGGTAACTGACCAGAGAAGACTCACAGAGTGGAGGGGGTTCACGTTTATCATGGGGGAGCCTTCTAACTCTGGAGAAAGGGGCCAGAGCTTATGTTCTACTAGATTGAGTTCCAGGGGTCCCGGAGAGGACAGTAGAGCTACACTGGAGGCTTTTCCTGCACATGTGCTCAGATTTGCTTTTCAGAACCCTCTCTCATAGTCCTGGAGCTCCTCAGCCCACTCTCCAACCTGCCTGCCCTCAGAATGGGCAGGAAGTGACTAGGCTAGGAGGCCAGCCGGATATATTGGGGGCCATATTTTAGCCTTCAGAACATGACTGGTCTCCTGAGGGTCCACAATAAAGGACTCTATGCCCTCTCTGGAGCCCTAGGAGACCCTCTGTGCCAGCCCTGTTGCTCTTTCTCCTCTTTGATAAACAGGGATAGGAAGAAATCAAGTAGAGACCAGATAACTTGTGGACTGCAGTGAGTGTTGGGAATAAGGAGCAGGCCCCCCTGGGACTTCCGACCCACCGTGTTTCCTGGAGAGTCCCAGGGAAAAGGTTGGGTTTGAGCTCAGGCATTAAGAAGCAACTTTATGGGGTTGTTTATAATTCCATACTTTTTCCTGGATCCTGACCTGCTCATCATACCTGGATTGAATCCTGATTAATATCCCCAAACTGAGAACAGAGCTAATGCCAAACTAAACCCTGGGCGGCACACGTGGTACAGACCTGAATAACACTGCAAAGCCTATGAGAACTTCATTGACATTGAAACCACATCCACAGAAGATAGAATGGAACTTGTGGCCTGAACCTAACCATATAGATTGGCTGCTGAAACAAATATACCACATTCTTCAACAGGATTGAAACAAAACCCAGAGTCTCAGAATATAATATCCAAAATACTATATTCAGGATACAATCCAAAATTAGCATATAAAGAACAATGAAATGTTCTATTTAAATAGGAAAAGAAAACCAACAGATGCCCACAATAAGATCATACAGACGTCAGAATTATACGACAAGCACTTTAAAGCAGCTATTATAAAAATGATTGAATTTTCATAAAGATTTTCAAAACAAATATTAAAATGAAAGGCATTAGCATAGGAAAGAGAAGACATAAAAAACAACCAACTGGAAATTTTAGAGCCAAAAGATAAAATTAGAGAGATAACTGGATGGGATCAATAGCAGAGCAGAGTTGACAGAGGAAAAATCCAGTGAACTTGGAGATGAACCAATAAAAATTATCCAATCAGAAAAACAGAAGATTGCAAAATAAAAAAAGAACAACCTCAGGAACCTATGGTACAACATCTAATATTCAAATTATTGGAGTCTCAAAAAGAAAGGAATAGGGGACAGAAAAAAAATTTGAAGAAATAAGGGCCCCAAACTTCCCAAGTTAGATAAAGATCTACAGATTCAAGAAACTGAGTAGCCAGAAGTGGTAGGGAACACCATTGATCCCAGCACTTGGAAAAGCTGAGGCAGGAGAATTTCAAGTTTGAGCCCAGCCTTGGCAATTTAATGAGACCCTGTCTCAAAATAAAAAAAGGATAGCGATTTAGCTCAGTGTGAAGGCCCTGGGTTCAATCCCAGTCACCCCAATCACACACATACACTCACTCACTGCAAATATAATGATACAGGTAGTTTAAGAGTAAGAGGTTGGAGGGCTGGGGATGTAGCTCAATGGTAGAGCACTCGCCTAGCATGCTTGAGGATCTGAGTGTTTTTCCCCAGCCCCCAAAAAAGTAATAAGAAAAAAGTACTATCAGCAAAGTAGACTAGAACTGAAGTCCCTCAACCTGAGAAGGGACATCTACAAAAACATGTATAGCTAATATTTAATGATAAAGATTGTATGCTTTTCTCTTAAGTTTGTGAACAATATAAAGATATCCACTCATATTCTACCAAGTCAATATATTACTGGCAATCTTAGCCAGTACATTAATGCAAGAAGAAATAAAAACATACAGATTGAAAAGAAACAACAAAACTGTCTAGGGCTGGGGATTTAGCTAAGTAGTGCCACCACCTGCCTCACAAGGACAAGGTCCCAAGTTCCAGTAATAAAAAAAAAGTCTACTCACAGGTGATACAATTATATATCAAAAGAATATCAAAGAAGCTACAGAAATACTATTAGAACAAATGAGTTTAACAAATAGGTAAAATGCCAATCATACTTCTATAGATAAGCAATTATCAATTGGGAAAAAGTTTAAAAGTTATTTATAATAGCTCTAAAAGCAAAATTCTTGGATAGAAATCTAACAATATACATACAAATCTGTGTACTCTAATCCATGAAATGCTCTGAAAAGAAATAGTAGAAGACTCAATTGGGGGATTTAGCTCAGTGGTGCCACCACCTGCCTTGAAAGCGCAAGGTCTTGAGTTCAATCCCCAGTACCAATAAAGAAAGAAAAGAAATAGTAGAAGACTTATATAATTGGAGAGACATGCCATGTTGGATTAGAAGACTCAACATGTCACAAGTGCAAGGTCTCGAGTTTAATCCCCAGTACAAAACAAAGAAGACTCAAAATAGTAAATTCTTTCAAATTGTTCCACAGATTTAAAGAAATTCCAATTAAAATTATAGTAAGATTTTTCATAGATATAATCAAGCTGATTCTAAAATTTATAATAGGAACCAGGAGTGTCGACACACACCTGTAATTCTAGTACGCAGGGAAGCCGAGAGAAGAGGATTGCAAGTTTGAGCCCAGCCTGGGCAACTTAGTGAGATTCTAAATGAAAAATAAAATCCTGGAGATGTAGCTCAGTATGAAGACTCTGAGCTGGCTTTATCCTCAGTACAGTATTGAAAAAAAATAACTAAATAAGTACAGAAATAAAAACAAAATAGGCCTGGGATATAGCACAGTGGTATATGTTTAACATTACAAGGCCCTGGGTGTAATACCTAGCACCAAAAAATAAAATAAAACCGAAGGCCAAAAGAATAGCTAAATAATTTTGAAAAAGAATAAAATTGGACAAATTACACTACCCAATTTTGAGGCTAATTTACAGTAACAGAAAGCAGAACAGGCATTCAGAGTGGCCAAAGGAAAAGATTACAGTGGGACATAGGGAAAATTTTGTGGGTGTTTGTTATGGCTTGTGTCTAGATGTCCCCTCAAGCCTCATGCATTCACAGGTGGGGCTTTTCCAAGGTGGTTGATCTAGGATGTGTGATCCTGGGATTAAGGGTGTGATGCTGGGATTAAAGCTGCCCACCCAGGGTGTGGGTGGCACCGCCCAAAGGGTGGGTAGCCTGGATAAAAAATAAAAACAGGTTTGGTTGCTGCTACTTCTCTGCTTTGTTGCCTTCTGCCTGCCTTCCCTGCCATGCCATGGACTATTTTTGCTCTGTGATTCCCCTCTGCCATACCACCCTGCTTTGGAGCCAGCTTACTATGGTCTGAAACCTCTATAATCTGTGAGCCAAAATAAACATTTCCTCTTTTAACTTTGAGTGTCAGATATTTTGTCAGCAATGAGAGAAGTAACTAGGACAGTAGTAAATAGATTTGTTATCTTGTTTATGGTGCCAGTATCATTAATGTATATATATTTGATAAATTTGTTTTAAATATGTACAAACTAATTATAACTCAAAAGCTACTTAAAAATATCTTTCCAAAGTGATCCATTACTTTTATATCCAGTAGGTGGCAGTTGGAACCATGGATTTTACCAGGGTGCATCCTTCAGCAGTATTTTAGTTTGTAAAATAACATGTAGGAAGGGTAATAACAGGTTAAAACAAAAAACAAGAACAACAAAAAGAGTAACAACAAGACATATTAGCATCATGGTATATTTTATAAGATTAAAATGAAAACAAAAGGGAACATAATTGTAGTAATCCATTACTAAGCTCCATTGCTATTTATTAAGGTTTTTGAAGCTTTAGATATATAGTAAGTATGAAAAGCAGAATAAAGAACAGATATGGTCCTATTCCAACCCCTCTGAGAAATTTGCTAAGAATCAAAAGACTGGGAGACAGTTGAACAACCCTTTGTCCTTCTACAGACCTTTGTTTGGTTTTTGTTTGTTATTTTTGAGACAAGGTCTCACTATGTAGTGCAGGCTGACTTTGAACTCACTATGTAGCCCAGGCTGGCCTCAAACTTGTGGTGCCCTCCTGCCTCTGCCTCCTGGGATTACAGGAGTGAGCCACCTTGCCCATATTGCCTTTGAAAAATTATAAATGGATGAGGCTGGGTTTGTAGCTGTTGGTTTAATCTCTAGCACCCCAAAAATTATACATTAAAATTAATTCAGTTAATATCATTGCTTCATTTTTATAAGTAGATTGAAATTTCAGCTCCTGAAATCTCCAGTTGTCTTCAAAGCCTCCTGCAGCAGGAAAGAAGACCTGTCCCTCAGCCTGAATATGGACAGGGGGCAACTCCTTTGACCCCCAGGCCAGTTATCTGTTGAAAAAACAAAAGAAATTCTGATAAAAGATAATCACAAATATTCTTCTAAAGCATTGTTATTATTCATAAGAATATATTTAGCTGCCCTGCTATCCTTGCTTTATTTTCTAACATAAAAAATTACTTAACCAGGTGCGGTGGTGGACACCTGTAAGTGGAGCACTCTGAGAGGCTGACACAGGAGGATTGTAAATGCAACCTTGGCCTGGGCAACTTAGCAACTTCATAAGACCCTGGCTCAAAATAAAAAAGGGCAGAGGATGTAAGTCACTGTGATGGCCCTAGGTTCAATCCCTATTATCAAAGCAAGAAAATAAAGGAAAGAATTACTCAATAAGGTATTTGTGGTCTAACCCAATTGTTCACACAGATTACAGTCCAACTAGATACCACTATGATCTAGATTTTAAAAATGGAATGTATTTCTATTATCTTCCTCCCTTTTAAGAAAGGGTTTTCTACATTTCTACATTTCTTTTCAGCTCAAAAGTTCATTGATTTTTTTTATCAGTGCTCTGTTTTAGAAGGCTGAGGCAGGAGGACTGCCATGAGTTCAAGACCAGCCTGGGCTACATATGTCTCAGTCTGTCTCACACCCCCCACCAAAAAACCACCTAAAATATTATGATATCAAATAAACAAGTAATTTTATAAACATGTTTCAAACACTGGGTTTCCAAGTGTATCATGCTAATATGAAGAATTTCAACAAATACCACTGAAGAACAAAAAATATTTTAAGACACTGTACAAAGCACATCAAACATCGTACTGGACTTCAAATAACCTACAGCCTAGAACAGTGATGGCAAAACTTTTAGAGCTTTTAGTGGTACAAACGGCCAGCTATGGTACACAAGTCCCATAGTTCACCACCATAGTGTTCACCACCGTCGGTCTAGACTATCTAAATAAAATGTTGTTAGGTCTGTCGTGTTAGCTTAACATGCTAAATTGAATTAGGTTTTGGAGGACCACAAAGCACCCGTCACTCAGATACTTAACAGAGGAGTCTCCACCTCACCCCCCCACACACACACACAAAGAAAGACTTGTATCACCTTGAAGATCCCACCAGCTTCAGGTTGCTTCAAAAGTCCCTGAGGGTCTATTCCATCCCGGGCACAGGTCACATACATTTCAGAGTAATCCTTCCCTCCAAAGCAGCAGGAAGTTGTTTTATCAACAGGCAACTTCACAGTTTGGAGTCTTTTCCCTAGATCATCAAATATTTAATGTTTAGTTCTAGCAATTTCACAGCCTGTGCAATATCTCTGGACCCTTTTCGGGAAATAAATTTTCAGAATTCTTCCATGTATTTAACTTGTCTTCGTTACGGGAAAAAGAAAATTTAACTATAAAATTTTGGCTATATCTTTGGCCTTAGTTTTCAAAGTTATCCAATTGAGACCACTCACTAGGTCTCTCTTTATTACTAACAAGCTATCCTTGGTCCCTAGTATGTGGTGTTCTCTAGGCACGTCAGGGAGTTCTCATTTTGCTGTAGGCCTACCTGTCACAGGATCTAAACGAATCACTCTTCCTCCATTGTAACAGGCCACCCACAGCTTCCCCTCAGTGTCGATACACATTCCATCTGGGATTTGCTCATCTTTCTCCAGCTTGTAAACACTTCTGCGGTTGGCTAAGGTTCAAAAACAAGAACAAAAACACAACAAAATAACAGGCTACTCAGTACTGAGAATCGGACAATGAGCTCTCAAACTGATTATAAACACTGATGGCTTCTGCTCATCCAGGGTCTGGCACGTGAATAAAGGAGTTTTACCACATATGTGGTAGATTCATTTCCCGGGCTGGTCTCAAACACGGGATCCTCCAGCCTCAGCCTCCTGAGTACTGGGAAATTTTTTTTTTTTTTTTTTTGTACCGGAGATCAAACTCAGGACCTTGTGCTTGCAAGACAGGCAGTGGAACCACTGAGATAAATCTCCGGCCCAGTGGGAGATAATTCTTCATAAAATACCAGTAGTTCTCTCTGAGGCTGACCTGGAATGAGAGCATGTGGGCCCATTTCAGGTAGTTAGACCTTTGCTGTTTTAGTTACAAAAATGCCTGCTTTAAACCCAAGCTCTAAAAGACAACTTAATGGGGCCACTTGAACAGTTCATGCACAAAAACTGGAAAGACATGAGTTATTTTTCTGCCTGATGAAATGTTCCAGAATCAAGACTAAAATCTAGGTGTGGTGGTGCATACCTATAACCCCAGAAATTGGGAGGCTTAGGTAGGAGGATTGCAAGTTCGAGCCCAGCCTGGGCAATTTAGCACTTAGTGAGACTCTGTCTCAAAATAAAAATAAGTTATTTATAAAGAGACTGGGATGTAGCTCAGTGTGAAGGCCCTGGGTTCAATATTCAGTACTGTGAAAAGAAAAAGCCAGAGGAGGAGTCAGGTATTGGAGTCAGGTGCCTGTAACCCTTGCACTCAGGAGGCTGAGGCAGGAGGATTGTAAATGTGAGAATCCCTGTAGTTACACAGTTACAGCCTGTCTCAAAATTAAAAAAAAAAATTTAAAGCTGGGGTTGTAGTTCAGTGGCAGAGCAGGGGGATGAGACCCTGAGTTCAATCTCTAGTAAAGAAAGAAAGAAAATTTGTCACTGCAATAATCAGATCAGAGTATAATGGAAAAATGTTAAAACCACGTGTAAGGAAAATAAGTTAAAATGGTCATAAAAAATAAGCACTACATATTTCAAAACAAAATATTTGTACTGGAATATCTTGCCTCTGATTAAATCTACTGAAGAGTCTATGATTTTTTCAAGTCATTTTTATGGTTGGTTTTGCTTTTTTGATCTAGCACTTATGAACAAATAGTGTCAAGGACTCTTCTAAATTCTTCTAAATAATTCCTGCCCTCCCAGTTTCTAATAATAGCTCATTTATAACACATTGATACCATTGAACCAACCTGTAACTACTTTTTTTTGCTTTTCCACTTTCAGAGGTTATCCATTTTGTCTCTGAGGACTTGCCTACCATTAACTAAAGTACAAATAAGAAACAGCAACCTAGCCAGCCATGTACAGTGACACATGCCTATAATCCCAGCTACTTGGAAGGCTGAGGCAGGAGGATCACAGGTATGAGGCCAGCCTTGGCAACTTAGTGAGACCTTTCTCAAAATAAAATTTAAAAAGAGAGTTGGAGGTATAGCTCATTCGTAAAGCATTTGCCCAGAGTGTATGAGGCCCTGGATTCGATCCTTAGTACTACCAAAAGAATGTGCAAGTCAAACTCAAATTGTCTACTCTTTTATCTCATTCTGTTGTACAATTATTTGTCTACAGTCACCTTCTGGTAGGACAGGATCCATTTTCTAGTGAGCTTCTTCCAGTGACTGTGGAAAAAGGACTAAGGTTCTATCCATATTAGGCCAGTGGTGACCATATTTTCTTTTTCTTTCTTTTCTTTTCATTTTTTTATTTGGTACCGGGGATTGAACTCGGGCCCTTGCACTTGCAAGGCAGGCCACCGAACCGCTGAGCTAAATCCCCAGCCCTGATGACCATATTTTCATTGTGTTGAGGGCAATGGTTTGACCAGCAGCTTAGCCAAGCCTGCATAATAGTTATTATATTCTAATAATAATATTGGAAAGCTCTCTACACATGAGTCGAGTTGCCTCACTACTGACAAGCATCTGAAAACAATAAGCAGCAGTATGGAGAAAAATAAGTACATACAGATCTGTCCTGTTTGCAGGTCATAGTCAAAGGCATCCACAGAGTAGGACAGGCTATCGATGTAATAGAAGATTTTGTGATCCAGGGACCAATCCAAACCATTGGAGATGTCTACCTGGTCAAAGTACTTCTTCACATGGTGGTCAGGAAAGAGGGAGTAGAGCGCCCCCTGGTGCCGCTCAAGAACTGCTGGGGCGCTTTCCTCCGCCATGGTGCCTACGGAAGCCAAAAAAGCATGAGATCAGCCCCACAGTATCACGCTCATGTATAGCACCTTCATCTCGTACCAGGGATCCTTTCCAGAGTTTAAAACAAGGAAATTACTATACAGTCACAATCTGGGTCTAATATTTTTATAAAATGACAACTACTGCTGGGTGTGGTGGCACATGCCTGTAATCCCAGCTGTTATCAGAGGCTGAGGCAGGAGGGTCTTACATTCAAGACCTGTTTTGGCTACTTAGTAAATCTCTGTTTCAAAAATAAAGAAATACATACATGCATATAGCTGAGGATATAGCTCGATGCTCCTTGTTCAATACCTAGTACTGAAGAAAAAAAAAAAGAAAAGAAAAAAGTACAACTATCTTATTTATAATGCAAATTAACACTATGCTGAGAAGTTCTGGTTCCAAATAAGAAGGAGTAAATATGTATCAACATCATTTTATCCTACTAAGCACAACTATAAAACCTGTATTCATGGTACAGCTACTTGAAAACTTTGAAAGTGTTAGCAGGCAGCTCAGGGAAAGACAGCAAAATTGGAAGTGTATTTCCCAGCTTGGAGTCACTACAGCCTGAAATCTGGAGATGGGCACAGTGGTGCAGATAGACACAGATCTAAGAGAAACTCCCTAGATTTGGTTCAAGGAACAGAAATAAATCCCTGCGTTGGGGGTGTAGCTTAGTAGTAGAACATTCATTCATCCACCATACACAAGGTCTGGAGTTCCATCCCCAGCACCATGTTCTCTCTCTCTCTCTCTGTCTCTCTCTCAGAATTTCTGAAGCTCAGAAGGAGTGGAGTGGAGGAAAGCCCAGGGTTATTTTCTATCCCTTTTTAAATATTGTCTTCTGCACCCAGGCCCCAGACAATTCTGCAGCAGGGGCAGCAGAGAGAGTGGCCAGCAATGGAAAACTAATGCCATCAAAATTCTGAGGGAAGAGGACATTGCTCTGTTTTTGGTGAGGCTATATGTAGCTCCAAAGGGGAGATCCCACCACTATTGTTTTTATTTCTTTAATTCACAGTATTGGTCATTAAGCCCAGGCTTTTCACATGGAGCTACATCTCCTAGTCCTTTTTTTTGTTGTCATTTCTTGTTTTGAGTCAGGGTCTCATTAAATTGCTAAATTGCCTGGGCTGAGTTCAACCTTGGGATCCTCCTGCCTCAGCCTCCCAGATTGCTGGGAGGCATGCACTACCATACATGGTAATTTTATTCCTTTTTTTTTGGTTTGTTTTGGTTTGGTTTTTGGTTTTTTGAGACAGGTCTCACTATGTAGTTCAGGCTGGCCTTGAACTCACTTACAGTGATCTGCCTGCCTCAACCTCTTGAGTGCTGGGATTACAGATGTGCACCACCATGCCTAGTGCTTATTCTGCTCTCTCTCTCTCTCTCTCTCTCTCTCTCTCTCTCTCTCTTTATGGTTCTGGGGATGGAACTCAAGACCTTATGCTTGTGAGGGAGGTGGCAGAACCACTGAGCTAAATCCCTGCCCTGCTTTTTCTCTTTTTCAACTCTATTGCTGCCAGGCATGGCTGAGGCAGAAAATAATTCCTATAATCCCAGCTACTTGGGACATAGATCAAAACTTCAAGGCCTTCCTGGACAACTTAGCCAAGACTGTCACAAACAAACAAACAATGATTGGGGATATTAGCTCAGCATTCCTTGGGGTCAACTCCTATGTAAAAAAAAAAAAATAAGGCTAGCTGGGGATGTAGCAAGGTCCTGAGTTCAATTCCCAGTACCATAAAATAAAATAAACCTAGGTGTGGTGGCACGTACCTATAATCCCAGCACTCTGGAAGTTGAGGCAGAAGAATTGTGAGTTTGAGGCCAGCCTGGGCTACATAGTGAGACTCTGTCTTAAAAAACTACTAAAAAAAATACTTGGTACTGTAATTTAGATACTGAATGGCCCCCAAAGGTCCACTGTTAAAGGCTTGGCCTCTAGAGTACTGCTATAGAAGGTGCTATGGATCCTTAGTAGGTACTGTGGGCAATCCTTAGGTCACTTGGGGTGTTCCTTTGAAGGGGACTGTGGGACTTTGGCAGGTCCAGTTGCCCTTTGTTTCCTGGCTTGTGAGGTAAGCAGTTTGTTCCACTCTGTTCTCACAATTATGTGCTGTCTTGCCAAGGCAATGGGACCACTTGATCATGAACTGGAACCACAAGCTAACATAAACCTTTTTTCTTTTTCTTCTTCCCCTACTACTTTTCTTTATCTCCTAATAATACTCACATACTTGGAAACATAAAGAAGCATGAAAATCTCAACTTGTGTAAAAAAAATCAACAAATAAAATCAAAGAAATCAACAGATGCTGAAAATGCCATGGCATAGGTGTTGGAACTGTCAAAGACTAATGCAACTGTCATAGAAACTTCAATTATTATAAACATTGCTGGGAAAAAACTGAAAATACAAAATGACAGCAAAGAAGTAGGAGATATGAAGGGTAACCAAGTGAAAGTTTGTTTGTTTGCTTATTTTGAGACAAGGTCTCACTATGTGGCCCAGGCTGGCCTCAAATTCACTGCGATCCTCCTACCTGGCCTCCCAAGTGCTGGGATTATAGGCGTACGCCACCATGCCCGGCTCAAATGAAACTTTCAGAAAAGAAATTTTAGAACTCACTGGATCTATTTATCATTAGTAGGGTACTGATGACAGAGGAAAGAGTCAGTGCACCTGATGATGGATCAATAGAAATGACACAATCTGAATGACAGAAAAAAGATTGGAGGTGGGGAGGGGAGGAGGGGGTGAAGGGAGGGCAGGGACAAGGGGAACAAATGAGGACCAAGACCTGTCATGTAGAGGTACAGGATCCCAACGATGAACGTAACTGTACCGTATACCTAGAATGTACCAATAAACTCAATGAGGAAGAAAAAAGAAAAAAGATTGGAGGAAAAAGGAACAGACTCAGGCATCCATGGGACAATGACAAAAGGCCAATGCATAACTGGGATCCTAGAGGAAAGAGTACACTTCCCCCTAAAATTTGAAGATTACATGGTTCAAAAGTCCTCAGGCTTGGGGAAAAGCATAAAACTGGATTCAAGAAGCAGAACAAATCCAAAACAGGATAAACACAAAGAAACCAAAGCCCAGATGCACTGTAACTAAATTTCTGAAAACTAAAGTCAAGCAAAAATGCTTACAAGCAATAAAAAATTAAAAAATTCAAATAAAAAATGATACATTACATATAGGGGAATAATGATTTCAAGGGCAGCAGGGTAATTACGTATTGAAAATGTCAATTCACTAAGAATATATAGTTCTCTTAAATGTGTATGTGTTTAACAACAGAGCTTCAAAATACACAAAGATGTCAGGATTAAAGAAGAAATAGAAAAATATAGTCTTAGAGTCTATCAATAGTCCTCTGTCTGGAGTCTGTCAATATCTCTATCAGCAATCAATACCAGTAAACAGAAAATCAGCAAAGATATTAAAGAACTGAACACTTTCAGCCAACTGAATTCTGATTGATATCAGTACTTATAAAACACTCCACCCACCATCAGGAGGATAGAATATTTCAGTCATTGAAATCATTATTCAGTATTCATTTAAGTGGGGTGGGGCGTGTTAGCACACACCTGTGATGCCAGCATTCAGGAGGCTGAGACAGGAGGAGGACCCTGAGTGTGAGGCCAGCCCGGGCTACATAGCAAGTTCAAGACAGGCTTAGACTACATAAAGACCCTATTTTAAAAAAATCACTTAAATGGACTTTAGTGGGATCTCAGGGGACAGAGAAGAATCTGATTATAATGAAAAAGTTGGAAAGCCGGGCATGGTGGTTCACACCTGTAATCCCAGCACTCGGGAGGCTGCGGCAGGACGGTCACGGAGGTGGGG